CGGTGGGTAGCACATTTGGCTGTGGCTGTGAATGCAAACCATTTTGCAGGCACCACGCTCATAAAAATAGTACTTTTATCACACTTATATCCTACCTTTCATCCAAGGAGTTAAAGAGAGTAGGTGCACATGGTTTGCTCTTCCCATTTAATCCTCACAACAACAACCCTGTGAGGAAGGTTAGACCTAGAAATGATTAACCCTACATACACACACTGAGAGAGGGGGGGATTTGAACCTTGATCTCCCCAGACCTACTCTGTCACTTTAACCACTATCCTTTACTATCTCTCTTTTTGCATACAGTAAAAAACCACAATCCAGTCACATTTCCCTATGGCAGAGGTGAAGAGTCTCCATCTCAGTAGCTGAGTATGGCCCTCCAGGCTGCTCTGTCTGGCCCTCAAGACTCTCCCCATCCCATACCTCCATCTGCCCAAGACATAAGCTTCCCTGATCTGGCTCCACACACATACACACCCCAAGTGTTTTGCTGCCTGGAATGTGGCTTAAGTTGTGGTAGAGCTTCTTTCTTGCCTGGATGGAAGATGAAGAGGTCTTTACTATGTGTGTACATATCATATCCTGACTCTTCTGGTTGAAATGTAGCCTACCCCTGTACCAAGGTCAATGTCTCCATCCGCTTTCTCCTCTGCCTCCCCCCACAACTCCCCTGGCAAGTGGTCCACAAAGGAATGTGGCCCTCAGACTGAGGCAGGTTTCTGCAGCCGTGCCCCAGTTGAGTTTTGCCACCCTTGCTAGCAACTGGAGAGACTCGAGTCCCATTGCTTCCCTTGCCCCTTGCCAGAGAGAGACAACAACAGGCCTTCGCTGTCAGTCAAGCAGAAACTCTTCCAGTGTTGTGAATCTATGATGAAATGCAAAGGTTTTGCAGTGAATTCCCCCCTCCTTTATTTTAAAAGGAGTGGGGCGGGCAGGACGGGGGAGGGGGCAGGAGGAGGGAAAAAAGGAAGCCGTACACTTTGCTGAATGGGAGCGGCTCAAATTATGCTCAGCTGGTTTAGTTCACACTGTGACCCTGCCTGGCTTCCTGCTATTCAGATGTGTGACTTCCCCTTTGTGGTAATGGCCTGTGGCACTGGGCCAGGGAACGTTATTAATTTCAGAAGTGGCCTGACAGCAAACCCACAGCGAAGCGAGAGGAAGTGGCAGGGAGGCCATCTGTTGGTTTCGGCAGAACAGTAGGAGCCCAGCTCCGTAGGCTGAATGAGGAAAGCAGATTAATAATCCACAAAGAGGAAACTGCCTAAAATTATCCACAGACCTTTTTTTTTTTAAAAGGGAAAAAAGAAAGATCACTTGAGCTGCAGCTGGACAGGAAATTGCTAGGGCTGCTTGCACTTTTCTGCTTTGAACGACACAGAACAGGGAAGGCCGAGAACAGTTCAAGGCTGGCTTATAGGCAACAAAGCAGGATCTCTCTGTAACTCACCTCTGTTTATAGGCACTCGTTCAAGGCTCAGCAAAGTTGACTTGCCCCCCCCCCCATTCCACTGCAATGTTTGGTTTTGCATTCCCAACCTTACAATTGCCCATCTTTGCGTGGGTCAGAATTTCCCCCGATTCCGGAAGCTTCCAAGCAACCTGTTTATTGAGGCTCTTGAAGGGTGCTGCCTTATTTCTGTGGTTCCCAAACATTTTCAGTCTGCCGCCCCCTTGGCTCCATAAATTCATAGTCACCCCACCCTTCTCTACCCTCTGAAAAGCATCATTCAGATGAACTATGGTTCTCACAACCCACTAAAGAAGGACAAAAACCAGGAAATATTGCATGGAAAGTATTTTTTGATGCATTCTGTCTAACGAAAACATAAGGGCAAAGGAAACGGATAGCGCAAAATATTTATCAAGAACTAGTTACCAAAGATGCACAATCCATTAGTACAGCAGTGAATTCACAACAGAATCAATAGCTGTTACCCAAAATTGGCTGTCCTGTGACAGCTCTGAATTATGAATACAAACAAACGGGACCAAAGGAAATAGATTTGAAAGTGATAAGAGCAGTAAAACTTTAAAGGTGTAGTCCATTTCAAGGGCCTGTTCCAGCCCGCCAGTTGGTTTATTTTGGCCCCTGTGGCAGTTTATTTCCTGGGGTAAAATCCTAAACTTCAATCCTAAACTCAACAACTTTGTGGTAAAATAATAATAAAAAAAAATCTCAACAACTTCAGTCCTAAAAAAAGGTTAACAACTTTGGTTGGCCCTATGATCGGCCCTCACGGCCCTTCACTTCATCAAATCTGGCCCTCTTTGAAAAAAGTTTGGACACCACTGCTAGGCAGTGGCTTGGTCAATCATAAATCAAAGATCAGCCCCCTATTGCCTGTTTGTCCCTTAGCAACCCCCCCTCCAGTAATCCCACCCTGCAGGGGGTAGTACCACCTGGTTTGTGAAACCACTGAGCATCCCTCCTCATAGGTTTGTAGGGAGATTAGACCAACATTGTACCAAATGCCACCCCACACTTTCCAGTGCATTTCTCTATCCCTAGTCATATGACAAAAAGTCTGCAATCTTTTGGGAAATTGGGTTTCTTGCCCAAGGCTTTCCAACCCACAATCATTGTGCAACCCTGAAAAACAGTGGCTGTCTCGCAGCACCCAATGAATGAGGAAGCAGCCAGCTCCTCCTTTGCCGGGCTACACATGAACCTTGGCTGAAATAAACAGGAAGCGGCAGTGTGCAGCATTTCGGTTTCTGCTGTGTGATTTGTTTCCCCTTCCTTTGAAAGAGAGTCATCTCGAGGCTTTTGGGGAAGGGACAGTGCTGTTCACACACTGGTTGCACGAAAATTGCTTCGCTCACCTCCCCAGCCTTGCTTTCTCTGGGTTACCCAATGGCACAATCAGTTGGCCACACAAGAACAGGGCATTTCATTTGTGGAATGCTCTCCCCAGGAAAACACACCTGGTGCCCTCTTGGTCAGTTTGTAGGCACCAGGCTAAGGCATTATTATCTACCCAGGCCTTCCATAGTTAAGCTAATCCCCATTCATTTTTCAGGGGGTGAGGTAGGACTTGTTCTTTGTATTGTGTTTTTCGATGAACTTCCTTAAATCTACAGTGGGCATTATTAAATAGGCACAGGTAGACCTGCAACAAAATTTTGCAGTTCAGAGTACTTCCTATTCAAGAAGTTTTCTACTATACAGTGGTACCTCAGGTTACAGACGCTTCAGGTTACAGACTCTGCTAACCCAGAAATAGTACCTCAGGTTAAGAACTTTGCTTCAGGATGAGAACAGAAATCGCATGATGGCGGCACGACAGCGGCGAGGCGGCAATGGGAGGCCCCATTAGCTAAAGTGGTGTCTCAGGTTAAGAACAGTTTCAGGTTAAGAACAGACCTCTGGAACGAATTAAGTTCTTAACCTGAGTTACCACTGTATTCCATTGTAGTGCTCCAGCCCAGGTTTTCCATTTCCCTCCCTAACAGTTATCATGCTATGGGCAATGAGCATGGTCAGTCCTGGCCAACGCAGGCAATGTGAGCCTAGGAATGACTATACAAGACACATCCCAAATCATACTGGGTGCTGCAACTGGAATCCACCAAAGAATAATCCACTCTGCTGCATAAACTAAGCAGAGCACTTTTAATGTGTTCAAGAAGTGCTTCACATACATTATCTTGCTATAATCATTACCGCAGCTATAATCATTTTTGTGTGTGGAGGGAGACAGGATTAGGGATGTTTGATACTCTTTTTGCAATTGGTCTGCAAAGAAAGACCCTCTAGGGTACGAATGAAAGGTCCCATTAGCCTAGTGGTAAAGGGAACTGGATGAACGCAGAAGACCAGGCTAAAATCTTAGTGCAGGTATCTCAGACTGAATCCTGTGTCTTCAAAAAAATGTAACTGAGATCTTGTGGAGGATGCCCAAGACAAGAAATTCTCTCTACACATTAGGAAATCCTGCATCAATTTTCACTGGCAGAGGAATCAGCAGCATACTCTTTATATGGGAAGTGAAGAGAGTGCCTTTGCAGTAGAGAGCTCACCTCCCCTTCTCCATGTCTGAAAGAAATGCAACAAAAGGAGTGAGATGAGATTTGAAGATGAGGGCATGTGTTTAAAAGTCATGGAATCCTTTTTCTAAGCCCACTAAGGGAGAAGGAAGAAGCTCTAGAAACAAAATGCAGACCAGCTAAAACAATCTGCATATCCGGTACAAGCAATGGTTAGGGGAAGATGAACAGCTTTATTGAAGACTAAGGGAAAAAAGGAGCTAGAAGAAAATTAATTCAGTGTTTTCTTCACTTAGCTTGAGCCTCGTTCATAAATGCACCTTTGTCACAACAAAGGCTAGCATCAAAGGATGATTTGTATTTGTGAGCAAGCCACCTAAGATCTTCTGACGCTTACCTGTCCCTCACAGCCTTGTTGCATCTTGAAAATTGCCAACAAAGTGATTGTACTTTCGAATACACATCACAGCCCAGAAAGGGTGAAACATTCATGGCAACAGAAACTATGGGTGAAATTCAGACATACATCCAAATGGTGTGCATTTTTATTAAAAAGAGGTGGTTTACATTGCTTTGCCTTCAATAGCATGTTTATCTGCATGTACACCCCTCCCAGAGGTGTAGGAAAGGGGGTGTGGTGGGTCCGCCACAGGTGTCATGACTGAGGGGGAGGGGCAAAATGGCAGTCGAGTGGGAGCGCGCCCACCGCGGGTAGCACGAGCATATGCTCCGCCGCTACCCCTCCCCCAGTAAAAATGGATGTGGATGCCTATTCTGCCATGTTTCTGAAAGCACATCCCACTGAAAGTAATGAAGTGCAAATAAATGAACCACATTCAGACATGCGCTTCCAGTTTCTGATCCGGCAAATTCCATGTGTAGAGAAGTTTGCTTGGGTGCACTGATCAACTCCACTTTTAAAGGTAAAAAAGTCAGCCAGCTGCACCACTCTTCTGCAAATGACAAAGCGCTGAACGATGGCAACTCTTGCCAAGAAACAAATCAGTCTCAATTCTCAAATAGCCAAAAATAGTTATTTATTAATAATTTATGATCTCAACATTCTTAGAATAAAATCCCAACTTTTACACTGGCAAATCAGAGACACTCCCTTATTGACAATTGTGTGCAAGACCTTCTTGCATATTACACAGGTACACATGCTCACACCCACACACACTTCCAGTTTTATACAAAAATAAATGCAAGATATTGCATTTGAGGTGAAGCTCCCTGAAGAGTTTGTACAGAGGTAATGCACTGTTTAGCACAAAATCGTTTTGTTTTGTTTTTAATTTGATAATTTACAGAAAAAAGAATCTTCTGTTCTGAAGACGTAACTCTCTTCCAAAAGAAAAATGCAAACGAGGCTATTTACAAAAGGTAAGGCCAAATTAAGTCATAAAGAGACCCTATGTTGATGGCACACCCCTGCAAAAGAAAATTATATATATATATAATCACCACAAAAGATACTTTATCCATTCACAAAATGCGAGTAAACAAACCCCAAAGCATAGACACAGATTCCCTAAACAAGGAAGCAAGTTTGCCTCATTTCAACAGTAAAATCAAGCATGCTGCAAAAATGTATCCTTTGCATACAAAAGGAAGAATGGAGAGAGAAATGACGCCTCTTGAGCTGACCTCTTGTACCTATCATTTTACTGATGTTGCTTATTGATTCAGGATTTAAAACTTTTTAACATCAACCAAGCCAAGCATTACAAAGCTCTTGGCAAACAAAAATTCCAAACACATTTGAGCTTAAACCTCTCTTTGGCTCCTCTAAATCAAAATTGCGGGGGGGGGGGGGCACACAATTAGTCTTCACTGAAGACAACACAATATATTACAAATGCATTGAATACATTTTCCCCAGTCTTACATGTGCTCATATAGTGTCCATTCTTCCTCCCCCCATCTGTGTTTGGAAGTCCTCAGTTCCAAGTCACTGTATAGGTGGCGGTTTGTGCATCGAGCAAAAATGCATGGCCTACCTAGAGGCAAGGTCTGAAGAGTTTATGGTGGTTGTTTCCCCCCCGGGAGAACTCGGCTGGTTCCCTCCCTTTGCAATAGCAGATTCCAAACTTTGTTAACCTTTTTATTTTTAAGCACACAGGCCGGCTACTGCTCAAGAGCAGCATCCACAAAAGAGAGCTGGATTCCTTTGCTGCTGTCAAAGAGAAGCATCGTGGAGGAATGATCACACAACCCAAGGCTGGAAGAGCTGGGACGTGGCTGGTGCTCACGTGGACTGCAGGGAGTCCACCTGGAAGACATTTTGGTTGGAAGGGGTGGTGAAATACAGCTGCTGACTGGGGACGCGGTTGTCACAGGGGCAGTTGAGCCCCAGAGTCCTCTCAAAGTCCAACAGCTGGCCCATGAAGTTGAAGTTGGGGGAGATGTTGGATTTCTTCATCTTGACAATGTCGTAGGCGTCGTTCATGGACAAGTTGAGCTTCTGCATCAGGTAGGCGACCGTCACGGTGACCGAGCGACTGATCCCTGCCAGGCAATGCACAAGCACGCCACAATTCTTCCCACGAGCTTCATCTGTGGAGGAAACAAGACAAAGACAAGAACCGTGAGATCTCTCTTCTTCTCCCAGCCTAAAGGTCATGCCACTAGATGAGACCAAACATGACAGAGAGCTTTGTGAGCTCCTCATAGAATTTGCATCGCCTTCCTTCCTACTCCCATCCTCCAGGCTCGCTTTGCATAGCGTTTTCAAAGCCTTGCTTTATTTGCCCTCCCAATAACAGACTTATAGAAGAGTTCTAGGCAGAGGTCTTCTGAACTCAGGCCTTGAACCTACACCAGCTTTGAATGCACCAGGAACAACATGAAAGCAAGTTACACCTTCAACAGAATTATGTGGTACAGCCTTTGTTGAACTGTACCAGGAAGCCTACAGGGTGAGACCAACTGTTCGGATGCTCAAGAACTAAAACATACTCCCTGGACACCAGAGACACAGCTAGGAGCAGCATAAATGGTTCTAGCCTAATTTGATGTGCAAAAGGGAATATTTTTTGCTTACTAGGAAATATTCCAGAGGGTAAACCTACACCTGTAATCTGAAGTAGACTACAAGAGGAACTGCAGTGTGCAAATCTGCTGACCACGCAGTTTGGTTATAGGCTGGTTCTGACCATATTCCAGCCATGTTATTCTGCAGTTGGGGGTCAGAGGCAGAAAAAAGCAGATGTGGTTCCCCCCCCCCACACACCTTCCTGCCTATGTGTTGTAACATGAGCCGCAATAAACAACAACATGCTGTCAGTCACAGAAGCAGCTTATGGTGGGTATGTGGTTGATGATCTGTGGTTTTAGAAGATTCCATCAACATTGGAAGGGCTTGTTTTGTACTACAGAAATATGAAGTGTTTTATGTGACTTTTCCGCTCTCTTTTACGGCATAATGCGTTTGTGTTGACGTTGTTAAATGTAAATTGCTTGGAGACCTTCTCAGGTAAGTGACTAATACTAAATAATACTTCATAAGTTCTAATACTAATCGGTCACAAAAATAATTTGGTGTACATTTGCCCTAGCATATAAATAGGGAAACCTTACAATGCCACCTTTTTTTTTAATGGAGACAAGCAGATTGCAAAGGTCTATTAAATTATTCTCCAACTGTTGTGCAGTGCAGCTGAACAATGGAGGTATTCAGCTGTTTTAAAAGGAAGAGAGAAGTCACAGGGGACAGCCCATTAGGAGAAACAGGATGTCAACATTGCCAGAAAATGGGTTCCTTTGTAATAGGAAATGCATTATAATGCCTGGAGATTAGTTTCTTTGTGGTTTCCAGCCTACAGTTTCTTCTTGCTGGGCTCAGATTACCTACATTCTGCTCTATTACCAGTATCACTCAATCAGATTACAGCACAGTATTCACTGGCAGATAACACAATGACCCTCCCCAAAGAGGGGGTGGGGAGCATAACTGAACTAATTCACAAAGAGAAGGGGAAGGAGTCTAAATGTACTCATCAGCACTTCTCATATATTTTAGGGCAATACCTGCTTCTGAGAAAACAGTGGTTTTTATGGAACACTCTAGACTAAATTCAATAGGGCATGCTTCCACGTGAGTAGGTACAGAAATGAAAGCTTGGAGGCTCTAGGGGGTATACTTCTGAGTAGATGTACACTGTTTGAGGGAGCATACAAGTCTAAGGAATTGAGGAATCAGGTCAGGCAGAATTAAATAAAAAAGGGAATGAATGCATTCAATTAACTACCAAAACACTGGAATCTCTCTATATATTGTGTTTTTAAAAATTACTTGCTTTCTTTTAAAATACAGTTTTCCTGGACAAAATTCAAATATGCTGGCATGGAAATTATGACTTTAAAATACAGGTATCTAAAAGATCAACTTCTTCTTCTTACAAGCTTTAACAATAGCTAAACCCTGGCAGAAGCATCTTGCTATTTGTTAGATCCCCAAAGGCTGAAAATTACATTAAAATAAATAAATATTAAACAAGCCATACTGCTAATACTTTGCAGCATAATCCTGTACAGTTCTACTCAAAGGCAAGTCCCACTGAATTTAACAGGGATGACTCCCAGGCAGGTGCATTGAGGATTGCAGGCATAATTATGCTACCACAAGACACACCCAACGCTCACTTTGCAATTATTATAAACTAAATCTCACCTATAAAAGAGATGGCCTCAGGGAAAAACTGAGACAAGTTTTGGCTCCAGTGGTCAGAGATGGGGATCTGCTTGTATTTAAACTCGCCAGCATTCTCAAAGAGATTAGGCAGGTTGGGGGTGACATTCAAGATGTATTTAATGCCAAACTCTTCTAGAACGTCCAAGTTGGTGGAATCCTTGGCACAGCCCAGGTAGAGGTAGGGCAAGATCTCCACCGGGAAGGAAGGCTGGTTATTGGACAAGGGGCTGCCGTCAGAGTCGGTGGCACTGTTAGGGTCTCGGTCAATGTCAGATTCAATGTCCGAAGAGGAGTCGGAGCTGATTCGGAGGCCACCCAAGCCCAGGACTGGCAGAGGGGGAGAACTGCTGCTACATGAACTGTCCAAGTTAGTTTCGCAATGCAGAGCATACTCTGCCTGGAACTTGCTGAAACCACCTGGGAAGAAAAGGAAAAAGAAAGGAAATAATTTGGATGAGAGATCACATGAAGGCCTTCCGAACCACTACCACCCCACACACCTCCGGGGTCAGTTCTATAGCTGTAAGATGCAGAAGCAGAAAGCCACACAACAACATACAGTTTGAGAAGAGACATAGCTCTGTAGTGGTGTAACAGGTTCAATGGACTTTTGCTTGAAGCCAGACAGTGAAGGCAGCTAGCTTCCTCTGTTTCAGACCATTAGAAATAAAACTGGGAGCTAGGGAGGTTGGAAAAAAAGAAGGGGATTCCCCTCTATCACGGCTGTCAGATTAAGGATTAAAAAAATAGTAGTGGCAGATGCTGCTCCTGTGGAGTTCAGTAGAGGAAGGGGGATTAGGAAATGAATGGACAGCCCTGAGAATGACAGAATGGAGATGCTGCAAAATGCAAAGGAGCCATCACTTATTCCGCCATGGAAAGCAGAATTCTGTTGCCCACCAATAAATACACTGGATCCTTTTACTTGCACAGGAAGGAACATTAGGCAAAGTGAAACAGCCCGGATTCAGACGACAAATTTCAGAGTAATGTTAAAGGGCAGGCAGTTGCCAGCATTTCTGCAATGACACTTTTTAAGGTTTTCTTTGCCTAATCGGTGTAAAATGCATATTCCACCCATCATAAAAGAAATGAGCTATAAGGAGGAACCACTGAACAGCCCTAAACTGAAGAGGACAGCACAGAAGGGGTTATAGCTCTTCCCCCACTCCACTTCCTATCCCAAGATTTTGCAAGAGCCTTTGCTCTTCCAAAGAAAGGGAGGGAGGAAGCAATCGGGTTATCAAAACCATCCCTTCAGGGCACGTCTCCTTTGAAGCGGCTGCCTTTTAAGTCCCAGCAGTATAAAGCAGGCCGTTTTACTGCACCACCGTATCACCCCTAGTCTCCCTATACGTAACACTTTGACCTAGTAACGCCAGACTCATCCCCGGGGTTTTGCCTAGTTTGACTGGAGGGAGGAGGAGCAAGCAGAAGATTTAGAGCCGCCGGCAGATTTCGGAGTGACTTTGCGATAGATCAGCAAGGATTTAAAACGAAAAGGCTCGGCTGAGCTGGGAGGGGGGCAGGCGGGAATGGAAAGGGTGTGTGAGAGAACTGTCCATGAGTGAATATCGGTCTGAAAGGATTGTGAACTCAATTCAGGTGCTAAACACCTCCCGAGAGATGGACCCAGTTCCTTCTGCTAACCCACCCCCGCAAACCCGAGTCGCTCTTTCACATGAGTTTTTTTTGCTAGGAAAAAGATCTAACAGCCTTCAGGAGTTGGGATTTTCAAAGTTTGTCCCTCGGATATATTGCCCCATGTTAAACAACTTAGGCAAAGGGGTTTGTGTGTGTCCTGCCCTATGGCTTTCCCTGGCAGGTATTAAAAGCAGTGAGATTTGCCCAGCATGGGGGTGGGGGTGTTTTCCTCCTCTGGGATTTCTTTCTCCTTCCTTCTCCCCCAATCAGGGGCCATCTGGCAACGCTCCGCTGCGTACAATAGGGGGCGAGGATGTCTTGCGCCCAGACGCAGGGGGCTGGCGTCTAGACACTCCCCTGGCGGCTGGAGGGGAAGGGGGCGGTTCCGAAGGCGCCGGGGGGCCGGGGATGGAGGAGGAGGGGAGGAAGGAAGGAAGGAAGGCAGGACTGGATTCCGGGGAACCCGCTCCCGCTCCGCTTAACCCCTCACCTTCCAGGAAGAAGGCCTTGCAGCCGTCGTCTTTGAGGCGCTTGAGGAGCAGCCCCAGGACGGAGTCCCCGGCCGTGTTCTCGTTCCAGTCGCTGCTGCTCTCGTCGTAGAGGACGACGGTGTCGGTGCCGCAGCGGCGGGCGAACTTCTCGCGCTCCTCCTCGCCGCTGGCGAAGAGGGCGCGCAGGGGCAGGTTGCCCTTCTGCAGGCGCCGCAGCATGATGCCCGGCAGCGCCACGCTGATGGCCGACTCGATGTGCGACGACTCGTACAGCTCCTGCGGGCGGCAGTCCATCAGCAGCAGGCGCTCGGTGCCCAGCTCCAGCTGCTCGTTGAGCCACGCCACCGTCTTGCACAGCGCCATGTCCGACACCACGAAAGGAGGAGCGGCGGGTCGGAGCGTATCTAGCATCGGGGAAGGCGGGCGGCGGCGGGGGGCTGTGGAAAACGCCCCTCTCCAAAGGGCCACGCGGACCACCGGGGCAGAGGGCACGGGCGCAGCCGGGGCGAAGGCAGCCGCAACTCGGGAACTCCTCGGGCGAGCTCCCGGCCTCCGTTAGCAGTGGAGAGAAGGGACGGAGCAGGAATCCCCCTTCCTCTTCTTTTTGTCAATGAATCCTCGAATGAACCTCCCTAACCGCCTCTGCTTTTTTGCATCCCCCGAATAAAAATCCAATTAAATGTGCTCAGATGCCTTTCTTGCGTGCAGCAAAAGGAAATGCATTTAAATAACTCGTTAGAGAGAAGAGACAGACCCTACTCTCGCTACCGGTGTTATTGCTTTGCCTGCTTCTCCTGCTTCTCACATCTTGCTTCACGGCCCCCCTTCTCCTCCTCTTTCTTCCTAAGTCCTCGAGATGCGATCAATGTCCCTTTTAATCAGCCCTGCACGCTCTGCTGCTGCTGCTGCTACCGCTGCTCTCCTCCTCGCTTCGCCCCTTCCACCCCGCGCCAGGCAGTTCCTCAATGGATACAAACATGGAACGTCTCAATGGATACATTCTCTCGGCCAGCCAATCAGCGCTCGCGGAAGGGGCTGTTTCCGTGGAGACGGGCCGGCTGGAACAGGTTGTGTTGATGAATTGTTAATGAGTTTGTCATTCACAAAAACGGAAAGGAATTTCCGCTCCGGATAAGCCGAGTGCAAACAAGCAGCAACAGCAGCTCAGCGGGAGGAAGGAGGGAAAGGAAGGCGCGGGGGGAGAGAGCGGGAGGAGGAGGAGGAGGAGAGCTAAGAGGGGAAGACACACAGCCGCTAGAGCTGCGCGTCTGCGGCTCGAGTTTCCTTCTGTTGCAGCTCACGCAGAGCAGCCCAGCGATTACACAACAAATGGTCCAATTAGAGGAGGAACAAAAGGCAGCCTCTCCTCTTCGGTGTTTTCGCTGCACAAGCGCACTCGTTAAGGGCACTTCGCAGCCGCGCTTTTCCTCCTTCGGGCTCCCTTCGCAGCGAGGCGAGGGAACTTTTGGGACACTCCGCGTTGCTTTTGCAGGGCTGATAAGATGCAAGTGCCTTTTGCAAGCATTAGGGGACCCGTCCCTTCCCCTTGCCTTGGATTTTTTTCCCCCGTGGGCGAAACGGGAATAATGACTGACCCACGCGTGCACGCTTTATTTTCCGCCGTCTACAAACACGTGCGCTGATAGTAACCATAATACATGCGGGCACACAAGTCCTCCAAGTCAGGAGACTGGAATTGAGAAAAGGAAGCGGGGGGGGGGGAGCCCGATCGCGCCAGTGAGTGACCTCAAAAAGTCAGCTACGAGAAAGCGCGCCGCTGGCTTGCTGCGAGAGCCTCAGGTTTTATTCTCCCCTCCGGGCAAGCAGAGTTAATTGTGGAAGAAGGAGCCGGCTTTTCATTAGAGCGGAGCGTGGGCCGGAGTTAATGGGTAGCGGAGCGGACAGAGCCGCTTGGCATTTGCAAGGGTGGCTGCTGGCGCTCGGTAATTGTGACCCATTGTTCCCACAGCCTGAAATCCAGGCCGGGAGAGCGGCTCTTCCTCCCCCTTCGGCCCGGGCGCTTTTCTTGCTATTAACCCTTCCCGGGCTTCCAAAAGGAATATTTCCCACGCATTAAACCCATTTCCCCGCGGAAGTGCTGCGTCTGCCACCGCTTCCTCGAGGGGGCCTTGGGGGAGTCCTCGTCGGAGTCCGATCCCCCCCCCCACGCGTGTTTACTCGGAAGGAAGCCCCGTTGGCTATTCAGACGGGGCCAGCTTCCCAGAGCGTTCGCCTGCTCGAAAAAGAGGAGCAAGGGCGAATTCGTTGCGGGGGAGGGCGAAAGGCCAGCAAACCACCCCTTAAGTTCGAGTAGGCACCTGACGAAGTGGTGCTTTAGCTCCGCGGAAGCTCCAGCCACCATAAGCTCATCGATTAGTCTTTAAGCACACGGGGCTCTCTGCTCTTGGTTTTGCTACACGTCCTAAGGGCTGCTACACAGAGTCGTTATTGCGGGGTTGGCTACGTTAGCCCCCGCCAAGGACGCACCAGGTCCAGGCTGGGCGCAAAAAATCCGCCTCTCCGCAACGACCCAGCTCCTTTCCAAGGGCGCAAGTACATCCCTGCTGCTGCTGCTGCTGCTACAACAATGCATGTCAAAGATACAAGGGTGACAGGGCTACTCTCCGCCATCAAGCTTAATGCAAGCATTTGCTGGGCTGCCCTGGGAAGAGGTTTTCTGCTTTTTCTCTACTGTCCCACAGTGATAAGGGGGGGGGGGCTTTCTTAGAGAGTTGAGATTTTGCTAGGTATTACAAATGGAGGGCGCTGACCAGAGTGGCTGGGGCAATCCAGTAAGATGGGCACCATATATTATATTATTATTTATTTCATTGCATCAGTGTGGTCTGCTAGGAAAAATGCCCTTGGGTAGCCAAGTTAGGTGCACCTGCGTGTTGTTGGCCTGCGGTGGGACACAAACATCGCTCTATGGATTTGGCTTCTAAACTGCTGTTGTGATTATGATGGTGGTGATTCATTTGTAAAATGAAGTGAGAGGTTCCTGCAGTCCCCTGACAAGAAAGGCCTAGAACATGGGTAGGCAAACTAAGGCCTGGGGGCCAGATCTGGCCCGATTGCCTTCTAAATCCAGCCTGTGGACGGTCCGGGAATCAGCGTTTTTTTACATGAGTAGAATGTGTCCTTTTATTTAAAATGCATCTCTGGGTTATTTGTGGGGCATAGGAATTGGTTCATTTCCCCCTCAAAAAATATAGTCCGGCCCCCCACAAGGTCTGAGGGACAGGGCCCCCTGCTGAAAAAGTTTGCTGACCCCTGGCCTAGAAGATGGATCATTTCTTTATTTGGGCTGGCTTTTAAGTCATTCCCAGGCAGAAACATAACAGCACTACAAGATAAAGCAACTTAAGATTTCTTGCTACACATGCACACCCTTGTGCTTTCCCACTCTGTCCGCTTTCCTTCCTCCCCAGAGCACATTAGGTCACATCAAACACTAATAGCGGAATATCCTGTTCCCACATAATGGGAGAACGTGTGGGAGCTGCCAGGATGATTGTGTTGTCCACGACATCGGCTTTTATTGCTCTGATAGAAGTTAGTTTCCCCTGCCCCTTCAGCAGAGTATAGGAAGGAGGGGGTGTATGCCACCAGGAACTTCTACCATTGTGTGTGTGGCCTGGGTGATAAAAAAGTTGTGGGGGGGGGCAGTTGCTTGAAAGGAATGTCACCCAGCAAGCTTCAACTGGACAGCTAACAGGCGGAGCAAGTCACAAGGATTTTACTCTGAAACAAGGCATATAAATGACCATCCCTTTTGAGACCATAACAATAGGGAGAAGACCAAACCATCAGGCTGCACAGCTCCTTTGAATAATCAGCATGAATTATATCTATGGGGATCACTGTGATATACTGTGAACACATAGGATCATTCCAGTATGCAGTATGGTATGTTGCAGGTCCTAGGATATGCCTCATCTGTGATACCTTTGGAGCAATATTAGGTTAGCAACAGAGAGACAACAATAGCGGGGAGTATAGGAGCATGAATCTGGATTTGTAATAAAAGACCTGTGACCTGACCCAAACCAAACGTTTCTCATTTGCTGAAAAGCTTACACTACAGGATGGTGGGTTTTTCAGCAAGTGTCTATAGTTTCATCAGAACTGATTCTTTATTCAAACTAGGTGTTTTTACCTACTGAATAGAGGCTACTTAGATGTTTTAAATGGTTATGGATGAGATTAATCAGGGCTGTAAGAGAAAAATGGTATTGGCAAGTGTGCAATGCAAAGGAAATGACCTAACTCTAACGGAGTCACTTCTCTTATTTTGGAAAGATTGTCCAATATCACACCCTTTAAACAAAAGTTTCCTGGGTGGCTGATGGGTTTATGAAGTTACAAATAAAATTTGCGTCATATACCGGATGTGATGTTGCTTTGTTATTAATTTGTATATCGGCCTTCTTCCAAGGAGCTTAGAATTACGGCACAGTCCTGCTCATATCTACCCAGAGGTAGGTCCTACTGAATTCAAGTGGATTTACTCTCTGGTACAGGTGTATAAGATTGCGACCTTTGCCTCACAACAACCCTGTGGGCAATAGTGGCAAGCTCCAAAACAGCCGGTGAGTTTCATAGCTGAAGAGGAATCTACAGTAAATCTAGGTCTCCTCAGCTCAAAAACCATGCTCTATGCAAGGCTTTCTTTGCACAACCCTGGCACAGCATTGCTGCAACGGGTTCTGTAGAGCAAAGAACATTTTGGAGGTGGCACGGGGTGAAGGAAGACTCAACCAAATGGCCCTTCTTTTTGTTCTCAGAGTCTGACTGATTTCCATTTAGCTCTGGCAGGGATGTGATGTGACAGGCAAGCTGCTGCGCCATTGGCAGCTGGAGGGCGTGACGTTTGGGCAGTTGACTTGCTTTAAAAAAAAATACCCCAGAGGTACAGGTTGTGCTGGAGGCAATGGGTGAGTAGCTGGCTTAGACTGAACCACAGGATTGCCAGAAGGCAATCGGAAACAGCATGTTCTAGTTATGAAACATGCACGAGCCCTAGCACTGAGGGGGAGGGCAGGCATATCTACAACAGTCTGTAAGATCGTAAGAACAACTCTGCTGGCTGAAGGCTCATCTCAGCCAGTTCTCTGCTTTCAAAGTGGCCAACCACATGCCCATGAGAAGCCTCTGAACAGAACCTGAACCACTGCATCACGGTCCCCTACCTGCAAATTTCAGTAACTCATGTTCACAGCTATATTGCCTCCAACAGGGGAGGTACAGCATCACCACCATGTTCAGTTGCTGCTGCTGGCTCATCCTCCATGAAGTTGTCTTTTAAAGCCATCCAAGTTGGTTTTAAAAATTCATGCACGTTTACTTGGAAGCCAGTTCCACTGAACTCACTATTTTGTAGAATTTGGGTTGATCCCTATAAGGTAGATGAGGAAAATCTTTTGCCCTCTGGTCATTGCTGGACTACAACTTCCATCATCCTTGACCAGGCTTTGCTGGGTTGATGGGTATTATTGCTCTACTATAGACATGTTGCAATACAGTTCTGTCCTTTTAACCCCTACCTTAGAGGCACGCGGCTTGCTCTTCTTTTACCTGGTCCTCTCTAAAGATCCCCAAAGTGTAAACTTCTTCCTCATGACACAGCACTGAAAACTCTTACCTGTTCTCTCTGTAAAAGAGTTGTTTTCTTCTGGGTTTGCAGGCTCCTCTTATTCCAAGCCTCTCTCTAGGTAGTTGCTCTGACCCCTCGGGACTTAAGTCACAAGAGAACTGAAGTGTTGTTTTATAATCTGAAGAAAGTAAACAACTTCCAGTTTTCAACACCAGTGCAAAAGTTTAAATGACAGGGGGGAAAAGAAGAATGTCTCAAATGTTGCTTTTCTTCAGTTCACATTAGGGAGACAGATGTGTTCCAACAAACAGGCATTGCTGTTCCAAAATGGGGGCAATTAGGATGCCATCGTAGATAAAATAACCTAGTTT